AAAAATGTAAATATATGTATAACACGAAATGAAAAAGAAAACAAAAATTGCTTGTTTCAATGTAATAAGGTTGGTAATTGACTTAACCTATACTTGCGGTAAACCCAAAAAGTAGTAACTTTCTTCCTCGCAGCAAAACCGACGACAAATTCGGTTTCCATTTCTTTTTTTTGACAATGACGCAATCGGTCGAAAAATCTGAAAAAAATTCAGCGCACTGCTTGTGATAGTGCCTTATCAGGGAATTAATATTAATATAACCTCTATTTTCGTTTTCGAGAAATCTTCAATTTTCCGATTTTGATAACCAAAAATTTTGGTTCTTCATTTTTGATAACCATAGCTTGTAACCGAAAAATCCAAGAAAAATCTACAACATGCGGCCCGATGTCAAAAACAAGCTACATTTTTTTCAAAATTTTATAACCACATATAAAAAGATTAATGCACTACATAACGTGCCCGTTCGAACCGTGCATCTTTTGTATACAACATTTTACACATACAAGTGCGCGATCCAGCCTCTATACATATATCTATTCTATTCGATTAAACGAACAGCAAAAGAAAGATCGAAACCAAGTCGCTTCCTCCACCATCGAACACATGGACGGAAGACGGACGCGAGCCTAAAAAATTCTGAAACCAGCGTACCAGCGAAAGCAGCAACTAGCTGGCCCATTACCTGAATCGAACATGCACGGAATCGAAGCAGGGAAAACAACGATTGCGCCAAATAGCCGACGGCAACGGTAAAATCAATACGGTAAAAACAAGGGCTCCGGCGATGTAAAGCTGGATAGAGAAGAGCTGACAGAGAGGACGACGCGCGATTAACAGGGCAGAAACAAAAAAAAGTCGAACGACTGAAAATGACAATAGGGAGAAAAAATAGTCGAGAACGCGGGAGGAGCGTCGTCTATTAAATCAAACTAAAGGCGATTACGTTCGAGTTCGGAAGGAACCCTGGGGAGTGGTGGTGGGGAGGGGAGGGGAGCGGAGTGGCAGAATCGGGCATCGGACACGTAACAGTCGGATACGTAGCGACGGCAGCGGGCGCGGTGGGATGACAAATTCTCGAAGTCGGTAGCGGAAAGAGCAACGCTGGCCCCCCGAAGTTGCCGCGGTGCCAAACAAAAGCCAAGTGCCATTCGAAAAGTTCCGGGGCTCGCCTCGATAGCCGGGCAACTTTCGCGACTTTCCGTAAATCTGAAAGTTGTTCGCGCCGCTCGCAATTTATATCGCGGGCCGAACAGTTCTTCCGGCCCGCATCCACGATTGTTTCTTACAGCGATCTCCGAGCACCGAGCGCCGAGGAGTGGGGGCAGCCGCGTCGTTATCTCGACTGCGCCGCGCTGCTCGTTTTGTCCGCGAGAACGCGCAGCGTTCGCCGTTCGCCTTCGTCGCGAGCCACGCGCGACCACGAGCGACCGCAACGTTTCAACGTTTAAATGGACTCGCGCTCGCTAATTCGGGAATACGCAGGATTATCGCGTATACGTCGCGCTGCGCGCCGCGGCGCGAATTACGAGCGACCGATTAACGCGATCACAGTGGCGCGAATTTATCAAGAAATCATCGTCGCGCCGGGCAGTTCCGCATTCAAACTAGGATATTCCGGTGTGTAAGGCGGGGCCGGTAATATGCGCGCCGACCTAGAGGCACGGTGATAATTTATTACTCGCGCCTCTCGCGTCTCGCGCGGCATTGTGCTCCCGGACAATGCGAGCCCGAGGTTTCCCGGTGGCCCGCCATTGGCCCGGCATCGGGATTCGGGAGGCCGACGCGGCCGGCCCAATATCGTCCTGGCCAAGAATGTCCGTCACCTCGGCTACAGCCACGCCGCGCGCCATAGAAGAAGTTATCCGACTCGATGCGCCTCCTCCCCCCCCCCCCCCCCCCCCCCCCCCCCCCCCCCCCCCCC